AGCCTTAGATTATATCCACATCAGGCCCATATTATTAGCCATGGATGATATCCACCTCAGACCATTATTATAGCCTTAGATGATATCCACCTCAGGCCATTATTATAGCCTTGGATGATATCCACCTCAGGCAACGTGTATTTTGCATAATTCACCATAAGATAAATTTCAATTTGATGAGTTTGCAAATATAGAAACTCATTCAAGTTATACATGGCAAATTCATGATTAAACAGTTACGATTTTGAGGTCCAGAACTAGGATTTCCATCTGTCTGCACAGTACGGTCCATTTTCATGGAATCAAGGAATACCTCAAACTATACACCGACATGTCAGGTCGCTGTGGGTCGGGTTACAGATTCCAAACGTGAATACAAACAATTTCACAATTTGTTAAAGTAATTATCGTGTACAAAGTTTAGATGTCCCATATGGCATTTACTGGTAGTCTCAAATGCTGGTCTTACCACACGTGCCGCTCCACTCGAGGGAAGTTTTTAAGGAACAGAACATTTTCTGCCAACCAGCATTGTACCAGTGTGGCAAATGTAGTGCGAAACTATGTGTGAGACTATGTGCCTATAGTGATCAAACCGGATAACGTTTATTGAGTCGCCGCCACCGATGACGATGGTGATAGTAACTTATAAACTTCGAAATCAGCTCCATTTTCCTTCAGTTCGTCTCGTAACTGCTGCCTTATTGCCAAAGCGCCCTTTTTCTGGCGCCAGTGGTGTAACATATAGAATATTTGTTGTGTCATAGACACCGCTTTCTTAAACCTATCCATTTCGTATTGCTGCATGTCAAGTTTTATCGCAATAGTTTCCCAACTGTTGTCCATTTTTTCAGCTACCATTATAAGCTCCCTGTCTGTGACTATTTCGTCCGGATTTCTTGGGGCACCTGTAAACAAACACGAATGAAATAAGCCGTCGAATTAACAGCAATAATCACACATTAACATTTAGGGGCCTTTCTATTCAATTTCAAATTAAATTTAAAATGTATTAGCACTACAACTGAAGGATATATGGAGTAGTGTATTCCTCATGTTACATGTGCAAACGTAAATAATTACATCTTTATATACGCGAAGTTTACAGTTAATCAGTGTTTCTCGTGTAGAAATCCGTGTGGTGGTACAATTACCCATGGTCCCATGCATTGCGGCGCAGAATGCAGCCGAGCACAATAATCCAGGGACAATAGTGCTGTACGAAAATATATTTACCCTGTCTTCCAACTGTTTATAAAGCTGCCAAGCAAGTTGAATTTCCTTACGCATAAACAAATTGCGCTTAATTTGCGTTGACGTTACTACCGATTAGATCACGTCGATAGGATTTGTCATGGTAATCGTGTTTACTAAACCTGCCCGAAATTGGACTTCCAATATTCATCCTTTTGTGCTCGCTAGCCAACACTGTGCGTTTGTGCGCATGCAGACGCAATTAGAGTGAAATGTTTGTTTGATTATAATAACACGTGCTGTAAATAATTCTTATTAAACAGGTTTCATCATGTTGTTTGCTGATGAATGTCCCACATAGAATACCCGAGTCTTCGGATTAATAAATAGTTTTGATTTCAAGCCTACCAGTCAACTGATATTCATTCTGACATATCACGGTACTATAGTTGAAATAAGAAACTCTACATTAGACTATATCGTGGGTGGGTGACGGAGGGGGGGGGGACGGATAGGATATACTGATCACACATACCTCATAAAACTATAAATTACCCAAAATTCTCCACGATTGGATATTGATTCCTAAGGAGTCTGCTGTATCTGTTTACATAAGCACGTTTTGCAATGTGTGACTAGAGTGTCTAATTTACCTCAAAGTCTGGCAAAAGGCAATTTATAGAAGTGCTAAAAATGTTGTTAAGCACGCATCACCTGGAAGCCAAAAATACGCATATCTTTGTTTCATCCATTCAAAGACATCCATTCAAAAAACTCGGTGCCGGGGATTTCTTTAGAACACCATGCAGGCATTGTCTATTCCCATGCTTATTGTCAAATAGAAATTCGTATCTAACGATAAACAAAGGCGCCGCGCCTCAAATTGGAATGTACAGAATTGCAGTACGCGTTCATTATAAAAACAAATCTGGACAGACGATTTATATGCACCGCCCTACCACGGATGGTCGTACGATGGATGAATCGCAAAACTGTAAGGGTTCATGAACTTATAATAATATATATACTTATAATAATAATATACATCTAATCTATGTAAGCTTGTGTGTACATAAAATTGTGGGTAAACATAGGTATTGTGTATTCGGCTTTATAAGAAGATCTAAGAACATGGTTGTCTGTGATGGCGGGGCTTCGGCTTGCGCATGTCAATTTATTCACTGTAAGTCGACGTTCAACATACGCTATTTTGAGCCGTCGCTTTGGGGGTGGTCATAGTGGCGTGGTGAGGTACACAGTGTTCTAAAGTACTTTGCCGCGTTCGTGAGTTTAAATCTCTTGTTGCTTGCATATATAATCGTTACATATCTGTAAATGATTTCTAATTATCTATCAATCACATCATGGTACGGCACATTTTCATTATGATAATGAAAATGTTGTCGTCATTCGGTACAATCATGTATATGCGGCAACCTAAAACTAGCCCAAGGGATAAACAATCACACACCCTCAAAACCTACGAACCCACACGCGCCAAGAATAAATCGAATTTGCACTGATCACATGAATCCCTGATCCCAAAGCATTGATTACGATATATATATATATATATATATATATATATATATATATATATATATATATATATATATATATATATATATATATATATATATATATATACAACTGAACATACCGTTATGTATATTGTGCGGATACCCAGTGTCCTGGAAATAAATATATAAAATTGATCAATAAACACCAAACTTTACTCATATCACCTGTATCGTAGACTCATCTACGATGTAATAGAAAGACAGTACCTTGATGTGGGTCTCGAGTAATAATAAACGGAGAATGCAATACATGATATATATTTGGAAACAAGGCTTCACATTTTTCATAATCTTAGCTATTTTTCATATCAGGGAAATGACAACTACTAAGAACCATAGAATTAAAATATAAACTAAAATGCTATTGTCTTAAGTGAAAGAGAAGTTATTTTGAAAGCAACTGGGTTTGAAATTGATCCTGATTCATGTGACAACAAATACTATGAAGTGCTGATAGCAAAAAATGCCAAAGCGTCTGTTATTTATTTGTTTATGTTGTGTTTATATAACGATGTCAACCCACACAATATATTTTGTTCATTGCATCATATCATATTTAGGTAAAGCAAACATTAGGAAGTTGGGAATGAAATTTGCAAACCTTTGGAATCTTTAACGGGAATGTGACCGTATCCAAACTTCCTACTATCTGGAAATCTATACAAAAGCTCCAACAGGGAGAGTCATGTTCTAGTGGTTTCCATTCTTCTATATGTACAGTCTAAAGCGGTTATTATTTCTTCAGGTTGATCATTATTTACCACATCGATTGCGACGCTCCAGTTATTATCCCTGCTTTCAGCAAATGTGTAAGACGTTTTCGTACTAACAAGTATGCACTTATTACCAGGAACTGCAATTTCTATGCTCTCACCATTTTGCATGTTGAAGCTATCACTACACGGTTCTCATGATACGCATGATACGACTTCTCTTTCAGACTTTCCACTCGCAATTCTGCTTGAGAAGATTTAACTATATTCAACGACAAGATCCTCGGCTCCTGTATTTGTTGCATGACAACAATCTTTACCGAGTATAAGCCGATTATCCGTGCCTCTTTATACTTCTGCCATTTTTCGAATAGGTAATTAGGGTTAATGTTTCGCGGTGCAGCCACACATCCTATCCTATAGAAATTAAAAGGACACAATTGTACTAAAAAACAATAGATTAAAAATAACCTCCGAATGATCGTGAAGCTAAAATATGTTTATAACTGAAAACAGGAGCCGTATATGACGTTCGCAACAAGCATTCAGTCTTTAGAAGTCACTTCACGTATTCTGCTGTTATAATTATTAATTCCAACCGTTTTGCTATTGTATTTTCTAGACTCTTTGGTATAACGCAATATTTACAGTTCATTCAAAATTCAAAATTACTTTGGAATTGCGTTGATACAGTGTAACAATGTCGGCGCCGGTAATGTCTTGTCAGTGCACAACTCAGCCAAAATAAAAAGCATGATTATTCGAACAGTGGTATTACAAGACTGGTGGAGGGTAATACATTTGGGGCGAAAGTAAATTATTTGGCTGTTGCCATGTCAGCGGTGAACCAGAATGTTTTTTTCCGATTATTGACGGTATGACCTGCTTTCCAAGTATGAACAAAATCAGCCAAATCAAAAAAAATCACAGAAGAGTTAAAAAGACGTTCCTGGTAAACAGTTACCCCAAAGTATCCCAAGTTTAAGGGCAATCCTAGCGTAACGGATCGCCAATTATACATCTGATCATTTGTCATAACTTAACTTCACAGATCTTTGAATATTTCTAACAACTTATGATATTTCAAAATTAAGGATCAACGATTAGTGAAACGGGTTTTATGAACTGAAACCAAAATTTAAAATGTGCAATTTGTGTAAAGAATTACACGACGTGCGACGATGCTTGTGATGAGTTGGATGGATATGAATGTTCGTGAACACACGAAGAGTATACACACTATTTGACGCCGTGAAACACAAGACAACATCACTATCTATACCATTACAATATTTTAGGGAGTTTATTATAAGAAATATCAGAATGAACATGTCTTAAAATTTGAATTTGAAAAGTTTGAATTATAATTTAATTTTATGGAATTGCATCTCTCAAAAAGGTAAATGTGTAGTTGAATTATGACTTGTTTCGACAAATATTTGTGCGTGTCAAGTTGTGACAATAAGGATATATCACAGATACTCACTCTCTAAATTCGTTTCCCCTGTATTGAATTGTGTACCTCTTTTCGGTTCTCTCGATTATAACGTTCCCTTTTGTATCCTCTGTTATAAAAGACACCGCCCTAGAGACATTATGCTGGTCCGTTTGTGTGGATGGTGATGGGAGACAAACTGTCGCATCTTCTGACAAACGAAATCCTTCTGCGTTGACAACAGCCACTGAATGACCATAGTGGATATCATTCGTCCTCGATAGGCAACAGCGGAGTCTGGGTCTGGAGTATGTACCTAATAATATAAAATTTGACATCATGTATTCAGAATAGACAGTCGTGGATTCTCATTCGCAAAAAAAAAGAAATAATAATAATATGTTTTGACCTTTTGTTTCTCTAGTTTACACCTACATTAACACTCGTTGTTGTTGGTTGTGGAACCGCATTTGGACCGATACTTATTGATACCCCGGGTCCAGCTATGGATTGAAATGTCGTCCCTGATCTCGTTACTGTGATCGTCTCTGATAAACATTCGGAAGTTGCAATGAACCTGGTCAGATTACTAATGTTTGCCTTCACACCAGTGTCAATCTTTGAGAAGAAAAAATTGTGATTTTAAATGAAGTGAAAGTCTATTCAATCAGTTAACAGATCAATATACTGTTAATTGTAGTATACAAATATATTCCGATCATCACAATACCTGTTCCGTGACAAGCTCCGTCCAATTTGTACTTCCATCACTCGTCTTGAGCTTTACCTTTCTCGATCTACTGTTGATACATTGGAATATCAAATTTACTGAGCCGGCGAACTCATAGTCAGGCGTCATGGTGAGTATATCTGATGCTATTTGCTCACTGGTGTCAAGTTCATATTTAACACTAGAATCTTGAACAGATACACTAGAAACTGCAATTTCCTTTTCCAATACAACACTATGAGGTAGAACCTCTAAAGAATATCCATCAAGTAAGATATGTAGTTCCGGGTTCTGCGATGAAAAAATATTGTTTAACAATATATACATATCATAGCATAAAACGAGCCAACGGCATGACATGATGATGTGGTACATACCTGTTCATTTGGCAGTAGATGAATAACTCGACTTAGTGTGGAACTGTCATCATCTGTGAAAACAAGTTATTGTATCAACATGTATGCAGCCACTTATTTGGGGGTTGATGAGTTTAACTTGTTTAACTTAAATTAAAATAATTTTATGATATATTACGCAACCTTTTGACTTGAAGTATCTTTTGATTTCTTTTATACCATGTACACATACACTACTGGGAGGTTCCGTCATTTCATCCGCATCGAGGGAAAAGTTTTCCAATTGCGATAATAAATTTATCTGGATTGGTAATATTCTAATCTTATTCCCTTTAACAGTCAGCATTTTCAAAATAGTCAAACAACCTAAGAGAAAACAATTGAAACGATTATACAAGAATTATCAACAAAATATACGCATCTTCACTGTTCATGTTCTGTTGACGAAAATCCGTAGCCAGTTGTTGTTTGCATGTCATACTGCAAGAACTCTTTCTAAATTGTCCACATCAAATGTAACGGGCAGCGAGTTTACGCATATCTTTTGTACAATTAACAAACAAAATTGAAAAGTCAACACTTACCAATGGTTGACGGAATCGAAGTCAACTTATTGTCCTCTATCTGCAGTCTCACCAGATTGTGTAAATTCCCAATAGTTAAAGGTAACTCAGTGATTTTGTTGTTGGATATATATAGGTTTTTATATTGGCAAGGCTACCAATTTGAGCTGGAAGTTCAGTCAACTTATTCTCTGCTATGTCAAGCTCGAATAAATTGAATAGATTTCCAATGGAAAGAGGTAGTTGTTCTAACAAATTGTGCGACATTTTCAGTGTCTCTAGGTTAGGGAGCTCACCAATTTCATCCGGGATATTTGATAAAAAATTCTGACTAATATGGAAATCTCTTAGATATTTGAGTTCCTCGATTGATGGTGGGATGCGGTGAATGAGGTTTTTCGACATATATGGCTTTTGTAGATTTTGAAGCATAATTATGGCGTCTGGGAAACTTTCCAAGTTGTTGTTACCAATATCTAGATATTGTAATTGCGGACATTGTATGTCGTTTGCTGAAATTATATTGATGTTGTTGCCAAATAGATCCAATTCTTTTAAAGTGGTTACATTTGAGGGGAATCCTGTTAATCTATTGGTTCTCATTTTTAAGCTGACGAGATTCTCAAGCTGAGTAACAACATGTGGAACCTCAGTGAATGCATCCTCTGACAAATTGATGTCTTCAAGATTAATTAATTCAGCTATCTCTATAGGCAGTGACGATACATTTGGATTCCCTCCAAGATGAAGACTTTTTGCATTTTCGTGTTCATTGATTAATAAGGGAACAAATTCATTTGAGTGCAGATCGAGTACTTCACTCTCTGGATTACAGTTTTTCAGTAATTCTCTTTCTGTTGATAAAACAGAACAAAACACATAATGTTTTATTATGTAGAACAAAAGCTACTGACGAGAGCTCTTTAGATGAAATGTGAATAGATGTAGGAGAAAATATGAAAGAGCACTAAATACACTAAGGGTTGAAAATGTGCGTTTTGGATCCATGGTTATGTCAGTTCTATTTTAGTAAATCAATGAACTAATCAACTTAACTTGTTTGCCAGGCATTAGCTATTACATATTATATCTCATAGTTATGTTATCCCTAAGAGTATTTTAACAAAAATTATTGGCCACTTTGTGGGGCGAGCTCTAGTAAAAGACAGAGGCGAGGAGTGCAGATGACTCTTACCTGACCGAAGTACCATGGCGTACCCGTTAATTCCAGTAAACGTGCGAATAGGGGAAAGGAAACAAAGATTTCCTATGAAATAGATGAGTTTTAGGTAGTGTTTTCTGTAAGATGTTCAACAAAACACAAAATATTGAAAACAGTGGTTATTTCGACAGATTTCTTTTGATTTGGTAATAAATATTTTTGACGCATATCTTGTGAAGACACGAAGGACTTCAGTCATTTTTTTCCTAAAGCATTCAGCTTTTAATTAAGGAGAAGCCGGTTTTACCCAGTTTATATAGTTTGCCTTTTGTGGATTCTTTTTCCGTCTAAATGTACCTAGCGCATTCAGATTCAAAAAGCTTAGAACATGTTTGTCTTGGATAGAAACTTTCCTAAAGAAGTTGACTATAAATTGGTAGAACAGCGCCTAGTGTATTAATACTTATTCCATTAATTAGCTTGATATTGCTATAATGCTATACATTCCTACATTCGGTTAAAGTTAGTAACTTAAATTAGAGATAACATGTCATTGGCACTGTTGTTGGTAACAACTCAGTTAACTTCAGTCGTTTTTTTCACTTTTTACCTGAACCAAGTGTATTCAGGTAATACTAGACAAATATATTACTTCCTTAGCAAAAAAGATGACATTTATTTTCATTGTTATTTTCATCATGAACTCATGTTGCGTTGCATCATGAAAGTTGGGATTTTAAATTGGAAAACGAATAAATTATTTGAAACGTCATATCATTTTGTGTGGCATTAATGGTTAGCACTCCTCACCGTGAGTCACGATTTTTTTTTTACAATTTCAGCTGTAGCATAGCGTTGCGTAGGGTAGTATATGGCGGGATTAAACATATACGCACATCACTTCGCCATGTTACAGTTACAGTATTTCAACATATTTCGAAACGCAATATATTATTTTTGATTATTGTAAGATTATAGTTTATGTATTAGGGCCAACTAACACAAGACTTATATACTAAATTTATGCAGCTTGAGAAATAGTTTAAATAGTTTAGATGAAATATGAGTTTAAAGTTAATATTGTGAGTACCCAGAATTCGGTTATGTTGTTATTGCATTCAAAACACACGACAGTAATCGCCATATTTACCCTCTTTGTTCCAATGGTCCACGAGAGATTCGACTCCCTGTTCAGCAGCATATTTAACCTCACTGTCATCCAGTTTGCCACCAGTGACTTTAACAACCTTCAAAGTAAAAATCCTTTTGATTTCTCGTGGTAGCTGTTTCAATGGGTTTCTCGACAAGTCCAGTTCTTCCAGCTGTGATAGCAGTCCTGTTAAAATGTTGAAAAAATTACGGTGTTTTAGTTAGCCTGTTGGACATAAACACAAATAACATATACACTAATACAGTAAGTATGACAATAATCAAAAAATAACTTATCCAGTTTACTTTAAGTTGAGTTTATAATCTTCGATATAGTTATTGAGGATCAGCGTTGTGTACAAAAGATAGCTTTTAGAACTAAAAGTTGTAAAAAAAATTGTTATGATTTCGAGTAATCCGAAAATACATCAGCTTCCAGACTATGTTCCTTTCATCCACAACGGAGAAGACATTTGTTGCAAAATATGTTTCTAATATTCTTTTGAAACCCTTTTTTATCGATGACATTCGGAACAAAGCAGCTAATCAATTTTCCAGTTGCTTATGAATATTTGGGAAAATACAATGTTAACTGGTTCGAAAGTTTGCTGAGATTACTTAACTTGGCTATAGATATTTGGCTCTACAAAGGTTATGTCTGCTATTAAACGCACATTGGCATTGAATTCGCATTGGCAATTGTCCGCCAATGAAAAACCTAATGAATGTTATTATTCACAATAAAAGGTCCTTTTCATCCCACACCTACTTATATAAATAGTACTAAAACAACTTACCCACAGATGAGGGAATTTCAATGATCTTGTTACTGGACAAGTCTAACACCCTTAAACTCAGCAGTTTACCAATTTCTTGAGGTACAATTTTTATATCATTTTCTCCTATATACAGTTTTGCTAAACATGGTAACTCATACACTGTTGGAGGAAACTCGGAGAAACTGTTATTAGAACATGTCGAACTCCTTGAGATTTGTCAGATTGCTTAGCTGACCAGGGATGGTACGAATCAAATTATTGTGGGCATATAATATAATCAGCTGACGCAATTTGCAAATTTCTATTGGTATTTGTTGAAACTCATTGTTTGCAATATTGCACTCAGAGAGATTTTCAAGCTTAGTAAAGTTAGAAGGAACGGTTCCCAATTGATTATTGTGTAAATCGAATATTTTGAGCTGTTGTAATTTACCAATCTTTGATGATAATTTTCTTATTTCATTCTGTGAAATATTTAGCTCTTCAAGGTGTATCAAGCAATCTATTTCGTTAGGAATATTGGTCAACTTATTTCTACTAAGATCGAGTTTCACTAAGGGGTATTCTCGCGTGTTGGAGACGGTAATATCTTCGATCAAGTTTTTGGATAGATCAAGCTCCAGCACTTTACCAATATAAGCTGGGAATTTCAACAACAGGTTGTTAGAAATACGTAGTCTGTGAAGACGTTCAATCTCAAATATATGTGTAGGAATACTCCGAAATATGTTATCGGATAGGTCAAGGTCTTCGAGGTCCCGTAGTTGCAATATTTCTATTGGTATGAATAATAATCTATTTTTAGAAAGGTTTAATTGCTTCACTTGATTGTACCGGGCGATGAGTGATGGTAGGTAATCTAATTCCCTGGATACCAGACGTATTTTCTTTTCCTCTGGATTGATGCCCTCCAAGATTCTGAGCTCTAATAGATAAATAAACGAGCAATATAAAATGACATACACACATGGAATTCGTTAATAAGCAGACGCATACTTTAATACCGTCTTCCATATCTCAATATATGTTGTAATTTTAAACAATATATCACAAGAAAAAAAAACATATACCCTGTTCTTTCCAGTAACCTTTTATACCATCCAGTCCGAGATGAAGTACATGACATGGGACGTAGTTTATTGGTTTTTTATCGTAGTTGAATGTCGCCAAACTTTCCAAACTTTGTATGTCACGACACAGACTACTTAGTTAATTTCTGCTAACATCTAGTTCGCGTAGTTTGGAAAGATATCCTGTAAGTTTATAATGAAATAATTACCTAATCAGTATAGAAAAAAATACACTAGATAAATTACTGTTAAAAACACATTATCATTATGATTTTATTTTAGAATTTAAGACCAAAACTGAAAACATTTCAGCTATCCTGGTTTTCTAATAATACTATCTTTATAGAAAATGTGCTTTGTTCATTAACTTTTGCATTATATTACTATCATAAGCACGGACAAGTGTATGAGGCCTAAACACTGGCTCTGAGAGTGGATATGTATATTGAAGAAATCTGGCAGTTTGGCATTTCCTTTCCATTGTGGGTGCCTTCTTGTTTTGAATTTTGTTCAATTTATCTCACTATTGAGTCAATTTGTGGTTGGGTTCATAGTAATTTATTTGTCCCGAACATCTTTATCAAATGTTGATAAATATTGAATTTCCCACATTCCAATGCGCTATTTTAATGAAATCACGAGTACGATATTTGACCTGGCCGCGACGTACAGTAAATTCCGCCAGTGACTATTTTGATGTCTTCCATTCACCAACCAATACGTGCTATTTGATCTGCGCAATTCATCATCTTTGTTTAAATGGGACCCATACTTTGCGCATGCGTGGCGCGACGACCACAGCCTTTTAATATGTCTTTCTCATTTATCAAATGGCGTTCTTTTATTTTCAAGTCTCATATTAACATTAACGTGAGAAAGATGCTACTGTTTGTTACGTATGAACTGCCGATTACCAATCATTTTCCGTGAACTTATTTGAACATTTAAACCTGTAAAGTTGAGTAATTTTGCCATTTATTGCATAATTTTATTTCGGTCACACCATTTATATTGTAATGTATAAGGAGTAAAAGTAAAAATTGTTCATAACCACAAATATCCTCAGACTTGAATATGCAAATTAGTCACGTGTCGATGAATTATTTGCCTGTATTTTAGCGGCATTCGTGAGACAGAGTCTAAGAGCAAATATCAAACAATTTCTCATCTACGGTTAATCTTAATTTTTTTTTTAGAAATTTAGCTATTTGTCAAAATATCTTTCTGTGTTGATCAACAAAATACAAAACATAATTATATTGCTTCAAAAAACACCAAAAACCATTATCTGTAGCGTGAGGAGACTTTGAAAATGTTGACAGTGTCTTTCGCAAGGAAATTGCGCCAAAAGAAACAGTGCAGTATTCTTTAAACTTTCTAGATCCACTTTTCACAACCGAATTATACTAATTTATTTTATGCACTTTTCACGGTAATTTGAGCGCTACTTCAGTATGTTCCACTTGTCACAGTAATAGAACTCCGACATTGCTAGGACTGAGGGGGCGCATAAACTTGTTACAGGTCACGTGTTACAAGTAATGACTCGGATTATATTGCACCTTATTCATATAAAAAACTGAATTCGTGCTGTGTGCTGTATATTCTGCCGGTCGATATTTTCGTCAATGATGCTGTCAACATTCACATTGAATAAAGTGGCTCTTTCGTCGGACCTATGCATGTTCGTATAGCAGCGGTTCCACAGACAATGCCCACATTTTGGATCTCTCGGTTCTAATAGTCCAAAAAAAACTTTCAACAAGCACGACACATAATTTTGACAACTGTTTAACTTCGCTATCATTCCTGTATATATGCAACTGTTTTTTCTCATTTCTCTAAAAAACTGGTTGCTATCATTATGGTAACATTCGTTGTTGTGTAAGCCTCAGTTTAATTCGTAACATTTTTCCGCAGGATACACCGCATCATTCGTGAAAATAACAATGCCAGGACGTTCTGGACACAAGATGGCGTGTAGCATAATTATATTCACATACACTGATTTACCTATTGTAGGGGGTATTTCTTTGACCGTATTATTTGATATATCAAATATCACGAGCTGTTTCAGCTTGCCAATTTCCATTGGAATTTCTTGAAGCTGGTTTCTATCTATTCTCAACACTTGAAGGTTCCCTAACTCACAAATTGAAACTGGGATCTGGCGAATATCGTTTTTGGATAGATGCAATAAGGTCAGTTCTTTCAAATTTTCTATCTCCAATGGTATTTCTTGTATTCCACATCCTTTCGCTTGCAGATGTGTCAGGAATTTTAGTTTTCCTAGTTCAGGTGGTAGATTCAGTTCGTTATGGCTAATTTATAACCAGGTCAATTGCCAAAGACCGAACACACAAGAAGGTATTTCACTGAATTCATTTCTGCTCAAATCCAGATATTTCAGTTTTCTCAACTTGGAGCATTCTTCTGGTAATGTGGTGAGTGAATTATCGCAAAGATTCAGGTGAGAGAAAACTGAATACTCCCCGGTATCCGACGACAGGCTTTGCAAAGATTTGTTGTAGACATCTATTTTATTGCTGGAATAATCATAACCAAACTCTTTTAACGATGTCATATCTAGTAAATAACAGTAAAATATCAGATATTAGCACGACCCACTGAAGTTTATGACGTCATCACAGCAGATTGTTCGAAATAGAGTAATTTCATTATTGAATAGCTGAGCCCTGTATCATGCACACTGCAAACAAGTTTTAACTTCATTACCAAAACTACCCAGACCCAATATTAGACGTAAGAACTAGAATAGATTAAAATTCATAAAAAAACGAACGAATATCCTGTTCGTTGTAGTGAGAAGACATATAATAATATCAAAACCTAATACCTCGTTTTTAATAGGTCAGGTGAAAATTTACTCAGCCAAGTGAACTGATTATTAATGGTATTTTATGGTAAATCGATTGTACAAACAAATAAGTTGGAACAACTGTGCGGAACGTGAAGTTTTAATCTGTTAAAACATTTAACGTTTATTTAACACCCCCCGGTGAAAAATAATCACAACTGTACAGACATGGACATGACTCACAGGAAACCATGTCTCAATGGCCAATTTCGTACCTAACAGGGTATATTGTATTAAGTCATTCACAGGTGAATAAACAGCAGTCATAGAATAACTTGAAACTGGCTTACCTATAGACTACTAGAAGTTTGCGACACAGATATATTGAGTCAATGTTCCAGTCGTTAAATTAAAGTACTCATCTATTGCAGTTACCCACCAAGCCACCCACTCAAAACTAACACTGGAAAGTAGCCAACATTGTATCCGGCTCGTCGCAAAATGGTGATCCGGATTTTGAATAAAATGTACTTGTTGTAACATGTTTTCACTAATAAAAAGCTATTAAATATTGTGTAGCGCATTGCGTTGGCATCTTGAGAACTGTGTTTGTTGCATTGGGGTCAAAGGTGTCTAACAAACAAGTGACCCACATGAGTGACCCATCTGTCACCAATCTGGTGTGCTACCCGCATGTACGTATGACATGACAATTGAATTCAATTATGTATGCGAGTACGTGTCAACTTTCCAATGCAATATTACTTTAATCTCCACATTCCAACACCTATGCAATGTTCTAATCTATTGTTTAAGCCTGGACCATTTTCACACATTCATGCGCGCCATGTCAAATGTCATCACGACTGTCTAGCACTCCTTATTTGGCATGTTATTAAGTTCTGTCCAGCCACGTTGACTTATGCTAGGCGTCGTAGTAATGTCACTATATCACGTGGTTTCACTTATAAATAGAGGGAGGACACTTAAGGGGAACATAATGAGGAGAAGAGAACTTAGGTTCCACGGGCTGTGTGTCTCTTAGGCGTGGCTGCAAAGCCAACGCCTGGGAACCAAGTTCTTATCACTACATGTATTATCATTATCCGATGTCTCTACAAATAAATATATTCTGATTGCATCACTGCCACGGCAACTTCGCTATCCCAATTGATTCTACATCTCCACAATCTTCTACAGCTCCACATGTAAGACTGTTACACATCGCTATAAATCAGTAGTTAGTGCAAATACTTAAGGTTCGTTTACTCTTTTATTAACTTTCACATAAAATCTGTTTACAGGGCACATACAATTTTAATTCGAGCTTCGAGGTTCGTTGCCAATAGTATATGTTGGTATTTGCCGCAATTATACATGTTTTAAAGCCGTTCACAATGTTACCTACTCTCTCTCTAGTTTATTTCAAAGTATATATTGTTGTATCTGTAACAACACAATTAACACGAGTTTCCAAGACTGATACACATCCGTTTGCATCTCTTTTATTGCAGTAAAAACTCCACAACTCGCCATAGTCGTACAGTAAGGGAAGAATTGTGCAAAATGTAGCAAAGACACACACATCAAGTTAGAAGAGCCATAGTATACAACATACATTTATATAGCGCCATCTACTGGTCAATCTGGTCAATCTGGTATAATCTGAAGTATAATACAGGTCACAAAATACATATTTATAATATGTACCGTAGACATTTATTTTATTCGTCCTTAATTTGTACACAGATCTTATTTTCGTAAGAGTTCAAAGCATTTCCCACATTAATTGTCGTAATTCGTACGTAATTTCCAATTTTGATTCTTAAACACAAATTATCAATTACTAGTATATTATAAAAATGTTACATGTAATTAGGAAAGTGCTTTATCTGTAAAGTGTAAATAACTATTTGTTACTGTAAATGGAACCTTCGTTTATTTTCTGTAACCTAGTATCCAGGTATTCTCCTTGCCCCCCTGTTCTTCTATACTAGTTTCTAACACACAATTCGACAATGCAACTATACTATTTATGAATAACTCAAACAGTTGCCATGCAACACATTCACATTACATCGAATCAACAAATATTGTACAAGATAAAATCACCCAAAACGAAAACAAACCCAAAATTGTACTTGTTGAACAAATGTTTTGAACACCGCCCACAGAGTGCATTATGGGTGGACAGGTTCAGCGCAGTAATATGGTTGCTTCATCATCAATCATTAATCAACTTAGTAATTATATCTATACGTGTATGCAATACGTTCGCAACGAGATAGAATATGTTGTGTCAAAGTTCATAACAACACTTTATAAAGAAATAGAGACAGAGCTGGTTGCAAGTGAGGAATCGGAACGTAAAGAGATGGTCACAAAATATATCAATTAAATATAGACGGATATAAAATATATTTTGTAAACAATACGGAATAACATAAGTTGTCTCAACGTATACACCAGCACATTCTGGAGTGAATACGTAAATAAATCATATGGACAATAACAATAGACACATATCCCGTCAAATTAGCGTATGCAATTAAACACATTACACTGGTTCAACGACGTAAACTACACAAAGACGTGGTTATAGTATGAAGTGACCAGTCTCTCTCATATCACACATACTGGTGATCAGTATAGTCGTGGGGATCGTTGGAAAACGGGTTCATATAATATATATTAATTTTTATTTATTTATTTATATCAGTTCTTAAAAATAGGACAGTGATTGGACTTTATCAATGCACAGCATAAATCCCACAATCGTACGTATAATTACGTTAAAAGAATGCAAATACATTACAGTGCTTCATCATGGTTTCCATTCACTAAAATGGCAATTTCCTGTCAGGTATACAAACAAGCAGATTAGTGCTGATTCATAAAACTATCACACGTGTTTTAATGAACTACAATAAACAAACACATTGTCATCTCCACATAGCAAAACTTGACACCTGAGGTCGCTGTTGCAATGTTTCCTTGATCAGTACTGTACAGGCGGAAAATGTAGCTTTTAAGTTTGTCAATTCGTATATCCGGAAACAAATTTTGTTTTAGCATACATGGCATTACTGTAGCAACCGCTTCAGTTGACGAATAACGATAGTGTTCACAATACGTTTAATCAAATATTATATCGTGCGAACAAGATGTATATAATTGGTCGAAAACAGGTTAGTGCAATATCCGCAGGCAAACAATTATTAAACTAGCACTTAAAGGGTCGATCGCTGCAATTGATACACATGTCTATTACCACAATTTTCTGACTCCAGTTGTTTTAACCAGTAACTAGGGAAAAACGAGTTAAAATTGATCTGTAATGCAGATATTCTCTACACATTACTAACCAAGCTACTATAACAACTTATATATTGTCTGAAAGCTTCGTATATGCACAGTCGTATTCGCCTATTAATCCAACCTTTCAAATAGTTGCGAGAAACGAGAATAACCGCTTCCCTGAAAAGTTACCATTGTGTTCTTTCTTTTCTTGACCACGAACGATCAGGAATGACAGAAAATATAAGTATCATAATTTAAGTGTGATATTACAATACACAGTGTTCACATTCTGCGCAGTAATTGGGCATTACACATCACAAGGGACTAAATAATTGTTTGCTCTTTCTCCCGTGCAAGTGAATTATTTCTTTAGCGATATAAAACATTAGAACCATTGACTAGCGACGACGTGTCGCAAATACATATGTGGCGTTTTGCGAGGCAGACGACGAGTTTCCACGATTTGCATTTGTTGTCTGTATTGGTCGAGATCCACAACGAACTGAGAAAGTGATTGCTGGCGTTATTACTGTCCTACAGAAATTAGGAAAGCTATCAAAGCTATGTTTATTCTGTCATTGATTCTACGCCGATTTACAGCGAACCAATGGTCAGTTGTACTCTAGGTAGTCAACTAGAACCATACGATACGGGCTACAAAGCCGTAAATGAAGTATTCCCCACAATGTCATCCAAGTTAAAGAGCATAGGAAAAAGTAAAGTACGTCACATGATTTCTTGAATGAATATGTTTTCATAAATAATTGAAATCAGAACTATTATAATATATCATACTGTTGCATGCGTTTTCGTCAATGTCACCTTAATCTGAATTCTTGTTTGATTCAATTAAATTTATTTTACTTCAAGATGTATAATTTCTAACTACCTCCACAAATGAAAACGACCAAAAATCAAATACAAAAGAAAATTGATGAATATTGTTCAAATACTGGACTTGATGTAACATGACATAAATACATTACATACAGGGGAAACACAAATACATTACAGCGTCTATAATATGAAAGATTGCGGTGTTTAGTTATTTATATTATTCAGTTATTAGTGATCAGTCCCGTCCTATATGTGCCATTTAGTATTATATTTAATCACTCACATGCTCAACATGATTGATCAGCAATCAATTACCTCTGAGGGGTAGATCAATATAAAAGAGTCTAAGTTATAACGAAAAGGGAATGAATGTACACATGAGAGAAAAAAATAACCCGGATGACACATAAAACCAAGTCTGATGTAGAGAAAGGAAGCGATCAAATGATTTTGTTTGATAAGTCGTGAGATATGCACATTATATCTTACGTTCAATGTGCATATTCATATCATATCTATTTACCTTCTAATAAAGGTATAAATCGGATTCAAATCATTAGAATTAATCAATCTAAAACCACACACCTGAAATTCAACGTACATAAATTTATTGTTCGTAATACATGTATACATATATTGGAGTCAAATTATAATTTACCTAAATTGACAATTTAATTTAGTGGGCGTTGTATGTGTTTATATTTCGTTGAGGATATATTCTACTGAACAATTTATCTATCTCAGTGTGTATGTGAATGACAGATTATTAGAGAATGCGGTGGTAGTGTCAATAAGCGTCCTAGATACATATCAACATTTCCGCAACGATAGGGAATGAAAACATTTACTTACATAGTACTGCCGTAGATTGAAAAGCAAGTTATATAATTCAAGTTAACCAACAGCGGGTTTATCGTGTAGCTGAGCTATAACAACAACCTAACAAATTAAATGCTAAAAATCAGACCTAACCCATGTAACCATGATATTTGAAATATTGTCCGCGACTGCATGAGAGAATGGAATACTGTTTGAGAAGCAAAAACAAGTCTCGCGGCTCATTCGCTCTCACCACGAAATCTCGGCTCCCATTTTTTGATAACTGAATCAAATTGGAATTAAATCTTTAATTGCCTATATATTTATTTCTCTCTAATATGTTTTTGGAATTTTTCGGGAATAATATTATTATTATCACAAGCAGAAGCCAAGTTGTCGGTTCTTCAATGAATTTGTTATTTTTTTCTGACTATCTTTAGAACCTTTCTTTGCACTGAACGCGCTCTCTGTATTTACATTCAGGAAATTGTCGTCACGAAACGTGTGATCTTCGACAATTCTGTGTAAATAAATGTGTAAATTAATACATTTCTGTGTAAATAAATGTGTAAATTAATACATTTTTGTATAAATAAATATGTAAATAAATACATTTCTGTGTAAATAAATGCTATAGAAAACTTTTTATCGTGAACATAAATATAAATACCGTTTATTCGGCGAACATACATATTATGTAGAAATGGATTATTCCTTACGAAGGAAGAAAAACTGAGAAATCGCCCACGGCTTCCACAGGTTTGCCGTGTTGGCGCGCGTCGTCACGCCTATAAACGACGTTACGCGATGTTTCAGTACAGCAGCGACTGGAATGTTATTACACACAGAATATTTGATTGAACATGGTTTGTAACCAAATGTGTCCGTGTTATAATTTTCTGCCACCACATAGCCAAGAGATTTAATAACGTAGAACGACCAGGGTGTAACAACCGTATTTTCTGTTCACCAGAGATTAATTTGTACTAGCCTGTACATGTTGTAACAATCAATATTTGCTATTTAATTAACAACAATACTTTGTAAAACAATTGAACTACAACGTCATAAAACCGTGTTTTCTCTGAACAATACCGCAGGTATACAACGAAACCAAATTTCAGATTGGCTACTTGACATCGCGTACAAAAGAAAACCTCGGTAGTAAATGTCACTGGATCCTCATATATGCATAGAGGGTGGTAGCTGGTACAGGTTACAGGAAATAAAAAACGGCATTTCACAAGAAATAAAATGAAAATTCCATTTAATAATTTACAGATAATATCTTTTTAAAAATTACGGACAAATAAAATAGCTGATTACATTTTACAAGTTGACCATGTCTACGAATTTACAAGGTCTATTTATTTACATTACATTATTACGATAATAGAACATTTGATCACAGCTTACGAACATACCCCTCGCCGACCCTCTGCATACTATGAAGGTGGCTTATAAATACCTCATCTATTACTATTTTTAATATTTCAAATAGTTTTAACCTCGCTGGCACGAATAATTTACAACTAATACATATTAAGTTTAACTTTTCAATCCGAATTCGGGTAAATTCTTAATAGCTAACAGTCGCTATTTATAACTATCTATATATATAAGATAACTATGAAAATACATATTCGAAATACAAATGACATAGAGCAAATTGACGGTACACACAATTCTCTTAAAAGCTTGTTGTTTTAAAAAATGAAACTGGGCCTGTCCCAAATTCTTCCATCGTTCGTGAAATGCAGCCTCCCCGGGCTGACTCCTGTTGGCGTCTGCTCTTCTCGTTCACTTTCATTATAACTCATTGTAAACTGATCATTATACACTTGACTCGTTACACTATGTGTATATTGGTATCGTTGCAACACATCACTACTGCTTATTGCGCTGGGAAAACCTTCTGACAATCGATGTTCTTCATCCCATTCTTCATCCTTGAAGAAAAAACACATTTTACTATGATTTCTTTTGAACATCTGAGAAATGGTGGATGATTTTTTATGATATATTATTCTTCTTCTTCATACCCAGATTAATTCATGACTTGCAAACAATATACTGTAAATATACTGATATACTGTAAAAAACAATGTGACCAGACGCCAAGGCCGTCAGTACAGGCTGTATGTAACATTTAAATAGATCATTATAAATACTTAGTAATCCATATTAAACGACAAGACAATGAAACTGAAACACGGACCGGAAAGATTCAACACGTGTTAGCATACAGTATATTGAACACATCAATACATGACATCCTTTTTTGGATTACATATTTATCCTCACATACATGATCCTTTTTAGATCCATTCCGCATGTATACAATGACCTCGACCAATGCTACCATTAGCCCAATAACGGCTCCTCCGGCGAGAATGTAAAATATCCCAGCGATGTTGCTTAGTCTTAGTACGTTTTGGCCACTAATGCTAGAGGTAGAACCACTGGAATCCAATGCGACTGACAGCCACCATTTCCTTTTTAAGCCCAGGATAAACCCCTGCTCTCTGAGTTGCAGAATATTCAGCGAGAAATCATCTCTAAATGTTGCCCCTCGTGGAAAAGCGAGACCATAACCTTTACTGTCGAATGGCGAACCTATAACCACCAAGTCACAGTCAGGTATCGGATTTCTGTTCGTGAAGAAGGCATTGAATGTGGAATCCTGCAGAAAGGCATAGTTCTCGGTGCAAGCACGCCTTACTCCTTCTTCGTTGGATGGAACAAGGGGACTTGTTTCTGCAAGTTTCATAGCAGCCCACATTGTCTTGTAGGGTTCTATCTTCGAATCGCGAAAGAATGACATTGTTTGGGTACTTTCTGTGCAACCATAGCTTATTGTCGTCTGTTTCGCGAGATCAGCTACAGAATCAACTGGAGTATCGAGTTTTTGAACAGTTAAAAACGCCGCCATATTGGCAGTGTAACTGGCTATGAAAACGAGAACAAAAAACCACCATGTACCACTGATTATGCGAGCTGAGTACGAGTATGGCGAGAACTGCGACCCCTGCTGCACAAAAGCGCTGAATACAAACCATATACTGTTGACCAAATTCAAGTTGGTTGCCTCGTGTTTAGAAACTGCGTCACGACGTGATAAGTGGTTCGCTTCGTAGGGGCTAATTCGGTTGATCAGTACAAGTAGAAGACTAAACACAATCAACGCACCACAAACACATAACCACATTTCAGTCGACATTGGACTTAAGAAGCTGAAAGGGTCTGGTGGCGAGGGTTCAGGCTTCCGCATGAGAACATCGGTACCAAGGAACATATACGGTGCTGAGAAATCAATGACTTCTTCGCGAACCGAACTAATAGTTAGACCAGCCATAGCTACGTCGGCCTGTAAATGCAACGGACAAAAATGCAAATGAGGTTTCAAATAAGAATTTTTGATTTCTGGAATCGCAGGCAACACGTGAGAACCCCTAGTGACGAACCGCTGATGTCGTGAATAAATGACAATTATGGATGGTCGAGACAATGTCACTTCCTTTGTTAGAATGACACCCAAACACCGAACATAAAGACAAAGTACAACTTGGGAATGACTTTCGATTAAACCACCTATGTCACATCATCGATTTATCACCAATGACAGGTGATTCAAAAACTCTCAGTGAGTGATTAGCCGGACAAGTCTATTTATTTAGAATATAAAAGATATACAGCTTACCTAGCCATCAATCAATTCACGTACCATGCCGTTCCAAGATCCATTATCTAATTGCGCACCGTACTTTCCATCAGGAACAATGTACAGCTCATATTGGAAATCCATTCGCCTCGACAGTTCCTCTATAAGATCATAAAGAAATCCATCAAACCGCTCATTTCCGACCAGGTTTTCGTAGTTATCTCTCCACATTATGAAAGGGTCGTCGACAATTGTGCTTATTCTCAAAGGGTTATCTCCGAATGCAAAATCATAAATAGGTTTTTTGAGAGAAAATATTTTTAAACGTTCCAATCTCGTCCAAGAACCAACCTGCAAGGTATATACAAAAAATACATGTTACAAATTGCCTTTTGAATCATATTTTGGATATTTATGACCAAATTACGTCATATTATATCTATTTATATCGTAGATTTTTGGCATGTGAAGTTAATTGTTATATCACCTAATATTATAATCGACAAGGTACATTAGTTTAATGAGTCATTTCGTTTCACTACTAAACTGAAACAAACAAGTGAACAGTGGTTTTATATGAAAACAAGATTAAAAAAATTACAATTCTGTAATTAAAAGTTCATTAATTATATACTGATAAAATCGAGATCAATTGTTATAACTACTGTATATGGTCCATTAAACCACAATGACAGGTATTCATAAATGTATTTACATGCTTCCTATTCAAACATATAAATAATAATTTAATACAAATACAATGATTGATTTGATTAAAAGAATTACAATGACTATTCTGACACAAATCCACATCCGGCGTGACATTAACATTTTTCAATTATATATATATATATATATATATCTCAATTCCATTGTATTTAATAGATTTTATACACATTAAATCTCTCACCAAATTAATAAGTGACTGAAATAACCTTTTTATCAAAATATTTATGTTGCAATATGAAAATTAAAACTATCTATAAATTAATTGATCAATGTCAAAGAGAACTAATCACTACAAATAACATCTACACGTCTTCACGAGGCCAGCACGAACATATTTGAAGCTTTCTAAGTGAAAGTGTGAGATTTTTGTTTTCCAATTTCCCAATATATTTTGAAGCGATGTTAGACCCTCCAGTTGGAACCGATATTTTTCAACACACAGCTGCATAATTACATACTATTTCATTTACATTTGTCTATCTTACTGCAATTAAATTATTCCATCGCATATGTTGACCATTAGTTTATTCTATAGTATAATGCCTTAACAAACTTAAGATTAGGGCAAATTCCAAATGTTGAAAATGGTGCAAAGGTTTTCTAAAACACCAATATTTTGCTGTTTCGTTTATTACAACTAAATAAACATTTCCACTTTAGAAGTTAATCTTGTGGCCATTCGTTTATTTAATTTACTTAATAATAGACTTACAAGAAGTAATTTAAAATACGAATCTAATGACGGTTAATTTAGATATATTGAACGCAAATTGTTCAACTCGAAAATGAAATTCATTTTTTCCCTAATTTCATGTTCAATAATGCATTATACAATGAAATAAACGAATGTCAATGTTACGGATTTAAATGTCATTTAAATTTAAACTTACTGTGACAAGTACCCCGAATTAAATGAACAATTAAAAGAGTGGCATGTCTAGTCAAATTAAAAAGTAAAATATTAAATAGTTTTGTCATAGAAATTGTAACACACAATTGTGGAAAATGTAACAACATGGGTAATAAAAATATTCACTATGTTGATCCAGCTAAGTAAAACCGGTTAGTTTTTTTTTACGATATGAAAATAAATCAGTTGAAACACAAGCAAGCCGTCTGTCGCAACAAGATATTCTTCGAAATAATAACCCAGCGCATTGATACAAATTATAATTGCAGTGTGAAAAAATATAGGCACAGCCATATCACATATTCACCCCATGTAAATGCATCCAATTTTATGATCACAAATATTATACTCACCACAACCAGTTCTTCATTTTGAAGTTCGATTACATCAAACGAATCGTTACACCGCATTCCATTCTTTTCAAACGAGATGTAACCTGATAGACCTTGTAATTTCACCTGCAGATATACATATGTCATAATCATTGCAGAGTAATTATGCGTCAAAGTCAAAAAGCATCAATCATCCTTGTATCAATACCATTACCGAATTGTATCTTTCAGATGTTCGAATTTAAGCAGGTGAAATAGACGCCAAATAATAAGATTACACCAAAATAGCTTAAATTCAATCATCTTAAAAATACTGGACGCACATATGTATTGTTCCCAATATATGTACAGATATATACGATTTTCCTTATAACAAGAAAAGAGTCGAATTCACTACCATTTTAAGCGCCTAGCCAATGTAAACTCACACTCTCATATCCAGATTGGCGGTTTCCGACAATGAAATGTTAAATCAGACCCCATCATAACTACTCTTAATTACTAAGCCATTAAAAGGTGATACATTTCACAATATCGAGTATCTGTCATGGATAATGAATCCATTAATTATAAAAAACATCTACAATCCACGCATAGAGGAGCACGTATACTGGTTTTATTATTACTTCTTTTATGTAGGCTCTTAATGCATTTGATGTTTCCGGGACCAGTAGTTCAGTTGCAAAACAGTCATTATTAGAATTCTGGTGATCAATCATCCCAGTGTTAGATGTATAATCCCGTATAGCCGATAACACGATATTAATGGCATCATAGACTAATATCACTTCGTAGGTATCAAGCTTATGATCTGAAAGTAATTATACGATTAGTGAATAGTAATAGCATTTTTAGATCAACATGTCTTGTGAATCTATCAACAGCACACAGAGAAAATGATATGGAAACGTTGTAATACATGTTGCTGTCATCTCCAGAACGATAGCCCTGATTGAACGAGAAATGGTAATATGCAATGAATTACATTTCTTCTCGTTCCGTAGTCACGTGCAAAGTATATACAATGTTTTACCTCCCGCGTCTTCGATGTTAGTGATACCTCCCTGGTAGCTTGGATGAAGTAAAGTCAAATTGGTGTTCGTGTAGATGTATGAGCTAAGATTCATGTAAGAGACGTCCTGTACGTAATACAAAAAATAATAGACACATACACGGTATGTCTTAATGTAGAAGAATGATCAGAACAATGAAATTTATATTAAAATATATATTTGGAAAATTGATTTCGTATTTAAACGGTGTCAAACAGTGAACTACTAATGTACATATATATAGAATTCTGTTCTATCATCAATTACTAAATTATCATCAATACATTATGTACTCACGACATTCGTAATAATCCAGTGATATCGATAACTCAGCATACCAAGGTACACAGCCTGCAAGAAAGTTTACATTGGCACAAACTTTCATTCCAATATATTCTTTTTATAACAAAATATCATAAAACACCATTTTCCATATAGACAGTGAGTTACCAAAAATGTCAGACGATAGCGTATTGGTCTTAACCCTGTATTTCATTGGATAACAAAAAATCATGCAACATCCCCCACTGTCAAAATAAAAATATAATACTATTATAAAAAAAACTCGACTCAGGATGTCGTATACGTGTATCTATAAAGCCATACGCACGTGCGTGTTCGAATACCGCATAGCGCTATGCTAATAAGCAGACATGTGATTAAAGTCATACTAAAATAGTCACTTTGTGTTAAAAGCTGCAGATATTGGTGATTTCCCACATTGTCACATTGGATTCTAAACCAGGTCAAAGCGAGCTAGCGCGACACACTATATGTTTCAACAAATATGACGATATAAGTTTTAGTTAAGTTTGACTAATGAAAAAAGAGAGACAGTAAACTCACATCTCGGAGCACTGTGGCGATTGTTGTTGTATGTGCGTGTATAATTATTTGTTGAATATTCATAGATCGAATCTCTGCTAGCACTGTCTTGTACTTAAGTTCGTCTTCAGTGTTGTGGGTTTCCGAACCCAATTTCAGTTGCCTGGCGACTACTTTTAACCCTACCTCTGCTGTCTTGGCAACCAATTCCATCTCTATGAATTAAGATATTGAACAGAATTTGGTTAATTAAACATTTCATATATTTGAATATGAAGAAACACAGAATAATAATATAAGGTTATCATCAAGGATACCTATGCACGAAGACAGCACAGCGGCAGTGTCGACCGACGCGCAACGAAGGTCGATGCGACGGTGTACTGTCTGAGTGCATACTTTGAGGTATCATCGTAATAACCTTATTATTATACACGTTTTTCTTCCAAGCATACATCATGGAAATGTCGAAACCCAAAATGTTTAGAACTGAATCAGCGAACTTCTTGTGTTGAATCCGGTCAAACTCTGGTGGCAGCCATGTTTGTTTTTATTATTTGAGGACAGTTACGTGCGTAATCATTCCATATTTAGAATTCGCATTTCCTATTATGGTAGGATGAAAATACCCTGTAAAAATTACGGCATGCTGTAACTTATGGCGTTACGGTGATAGATGTATAATAATATATATCTTTCTAAATAAAATTCTGCTTTCTCGAAATTGTGGATTTGTGTTTTTGCATATTCCTTTCAGACGAAGTCAATTAATAGAATGACATACCTGGATATGTTACACCGTCAAACACAATTGCTACCGAGTTCCATTCGTAAAACTTTATCAAATCAACAATTACGTCGGAAATGTCGCCTTGACTCGGTGATAAGTGTAAAACGCCGTCTTGTTTGCCGTTGTTTTCGTACACATAACTCTGAAGGACGGCAATTCCCATGGCTTTCGCTAAACTTATGGCACTGTCGCATATATCACTACATGAACTCGTGATAATAACTGCTACTACGTCATGATTTAATAGGAATTCGCAAACTGAAAAACAAAATCTACGTCAATATTTAACGTTCTCCCCACTAGTTCTCTTTTTTCATCACAAATTCATAAAATAGCCCCGTTTATAGTTTGTATTTTCCTTCAGAAGATTTGGGACAAAAATAGCCAAGTGTTTTGAGTAAAAACTGACAATTGACTCAAATACTGTCTATTGGCCCTAAAATTATGGTTGATTTCCAGAAATATTCAAGAAAATAAGAAAAAAGTACAGAAAAATTCTTGCGAGAAAGTCTGGTGCTGAAAAGGTTAAGTAATAGACCAACATTCGGCCACGTTATGGTATACCTGTAATGTTTTTTGTGTGGATGCAACGAAACATTCTGGAAAGTTTAACAATTACTTGACCCTGAAGTAGCTTTTTACTGTATAGAATAAACCTGGTCAGCGCAAAACTGGTTTTTGATTTTTGTGTATGCATGTTCATTTATAGAGTGGCTTCCATAGAGGACAAAATGACATATTTGTAGCCTGTAGCCGATTAACACCTCATTGCAGCGCGTAGATGTAGACATATTTTATCTTAGAAATTCTGCATATTATTGTATCATCAGTAAAATTTATTTTCCAAGCACAAAACTGAATTCAGACTAGTTAAAATACTGATTTAGTATTTAGTATCGGTTATGGTAGCAATTTAGGCTTGTACATGTGTGCCAATCGTATCGACATATTCAAGAATTTGTCGACAAAAGGAGGGACGAACTCGGTACCATGCAGGCATATACAGTGTTATTCAAAAAATAGAGACCACTTGTTTTACCGTCTATTGTTTGCCTTACTGGATTCTGAACAGATATCGTCAGTTCTTTCACTTGTATATCATTGAGACAGGTATTGTTGTGCATTCTGATACATAGATCAGAAATGACATCATTGAAAAACGACAAATCCATTCGTTCATTCTCACCATGGATCCAGCCTGGAGACAAAAACTATACGATTGTCAATTAGTAAATACAATTATATTACAGCTCACGTTGAACAATTAAACGTATACGCGTAAAGCTTATATCATAAAACGAGAATATAGTGTTTGTAGTGCCCTCAAATTAAATTAACATGAACCAACTACTTACCCACCGAGACGGGCGTACAAAAGGAGACACACACAGACATGTAACAAATGAGGAGAAACCGCGAAACGCAGACCGTCATCGATAGCATAATACACAGCGGCCGATCTGATCGTAGTGAAGTGAGACCTGCAGAGAAGCAAATTTAACTGTGTACTCGTCCGGTTATTCTGCAAATATTAGTTATTGTGCAAACACTGGAAAGTAAATATGCCTCTGAACTAATGCACCGCTGTATGTATGGTCCATATTGATTTCGCTGATTCACTTTCATTTCTATATTTTATTGGTTTGTAGAGGGCGCAGTGTATTTTACAATGCTGGATACATTTTTTTTTAAGAATACCATTGTCTATGACGAGAACAATACAACAATTAATTAGACAATAAAAACATTTTTTTAAACGAACGAGTATTTGTCGCGATTGTTGTGGGTGGGCCTTATGCATGAGCCAGTCTGTGCATGTGAGTTCACATGGTAATGAACTGAAGTCATGGAGACAGCCAATCAGTGATGGTACAGACTTTTGTGCCGATGACGTGGTTACATAGCGACTCACCAGACCCTTCTTGAGTGTACTTGAAATGACTCGATTCCAGGCTAGAATTTTTCGATGCAAATATAAAACATACTGACATTAATTATTATGTATATATTAAAATTTGTCTTTGGTTAAGGTAGAGATGCAGTTTACCTGACAGGTATTTTAATTAGTTAATTAGAAAAGCAAGATGACCTCCCTTGTCCACAAAACTATATATTTTCGGAAAGCTTAGTGTATGAATTTTAAAATTTTGTTAGTATTTTTTTTTGGGACACTGTAGTTTGAAATATGCACAAACATGTGCTTTTTTGGTAAAAAGTGATTTAAAAAAAATTAGCTTCTAAACCATGCTTCTGTTTCCTGTCAAAATTGGTTTATGGGTACATCTGTTTACTATGAAAACAGTGCCGTCTTGAAAACTGTCTACCAGTTGTCAATTTTACAGGGCAGCAGCTCAAACTTCACGACTTCAAGTTTATGCATAAATTAACACCCAGACTAGTTTTCTGTGCGATTGTTGTAACACTGTTCAACCAAAAACAATGCCCCGACGGCGTTTTGAAGAGAAACACAATTCACTCAGTAAGAAGTTTGCTAATGCTCATAATTAAAATGGCTGTAACCGTTCCAAATTTAAATGTATTATCGTTTTGTTAAAAGTTAAATATAGTGCATGATATGGAGATCCCGTCATTTTTTTCACCATGTTTCTTTTTTGTCATTTATGTACAGCCTTGCTAAATCTTGCTAAGCATTCAAAGGAGAGAATGTTTGCACCTGTTATCTATATTTTAAACTCGTTTTTTGAGTATGTTCAACTATTTACAATTCTACAAAATTTTAACAGTCTATAGCCAAGACTGTTTTTTGGATATTAAAAAGCAAAAAAAATTTCACTCCCAAGTGCCTACGAACCTGCATCTCTACCTTAAGTCTATGAATATTTTTTTACATTCAAATTGGTAGAATGTTCAATCCCCCGCACGATTTAGGTAATGCTGTTTTCTGTATGCCGCCTGCCACGACAGTTCGGCTCACATCAAATATATATTTATACATGACAACAGTATACGTAGTTAGAATCGACCGCTGACTCACTCTGCGATAATCGCGTTCCATCGAAGGAGCCTTTGATAAACTACCACGTATTATTATACACTTATACACAAATACGTGTTGCACCATAATTAGACCTCAAACTAACATTCATTTACATCACAGGGGACAATTAGAAATGTCGGAAGAAGACATTAGTAAAGTTAACATTTTACAAAATGCTCATGCACCCAACTGCAGATCGTTTTTTGTTCTAGCGTTTTCCAACCAGGCTCGATTGTTT